TGTCCCCAAACCCCAAAACCCCAAAACCCCAAAACCCCACCTTGATAAATTTGAGTATGAAATTTTGATAATGTGATTCTTAAAAATATAAAATACATATCAAAATTATATATTTCATTGAAATTCTTGATCATCATCTTTTCCTGCTTCTATTGCCTTTCATAGTTATTAGTTATCGTTTTTAATGCCTCCATTTGCACCCACCTTTCCATAAGCAATGAGTCCTCCTGTTGTATATGAAGTATTACCTCCTATTTTGTTTTGTTGCAAAGCACTTTCGAGTTCGCTATAGGCTTGCTTTTAAATGGCTTAGGTGTTTTGAAGTTTTTTGATTAACTCCATTTCGAGCATTTCCATTTACATAACTTCCTGTTCCTTTTATCTAATAACTGCTTCCTCTTCAGCAATGCGTTTGTCAAGTTCAGCTTTTGCCTCCATTTACTTACGTCTCATATACTCGTCTCTCTTCATCTAGGCAATTCTCTCCTGCTATTTGATTAGATTATTCTTATTAGAATTCTCCTACGAGACTTAATCATAGAAGTAATTCTTTCTCTAACGATTTTAGGCCTACAAGTATTTCTACTATTTGGCCTCCTCTTTCTTGCTGAGATATATTGCTTCTTAAATCTTTTATCTCTCCATCTCACGCTACTTGCGCATTTGGTTGATTTTATTTTAGTTTTCCTCCTGCATCATTTGTTCCATTCGCATTTTTTCGAACTTATTATTCATTTTATCTTCATTTCTTCGCTTAAGGTCATTTACCTCTTTAGCTCTTTTTTTAGTTTCCTCAATTTTTTTCCATGTTTTCATTTCTTCCTGCTTAAGTAGAGCGATACGATTCGCTAATAATTAAGCATCACGTTCTATACTAAATTATATGTTAGTTTCAGTAAGAAATTATTAAAATGCTATCCAGTTTGATTATATTGAACTAGAATTGAGATACTTACTCCTTTCTTTATTTTTTGGCATTCATAATACTTTGGCCAGCTAAGCCTGGTCCTGTACCTCCTCTTCCAGAATGAAATGATTATGACCTCACATCTCCTCCATTCCTCATCGCCTATTAGTCATCATACTCGCCTAATCCACCTCCGTTCTTTAGTCCTCTACCATCTACGAAGGAGTTATTATTGCTTTGAGAGATATTAGGAAATTTAACGTCTGCCATTGTGAATTATTATTGTGAAAACAAACTAAGTTTTATTATTTTAATTAATGCTCTTAGAGGTTATAATTTCAGCTTTCTGGGGTTTTGGGGTTTTGGGGTTTTGGGGTTTTGGGG